GGCTTAAATTTAATGTTTCTTGTATACAAGTGTAGTTCTTTTTGCTGAGGATTCTGTGTGTGGGCTATATAATTTTCTAAGTTCTCACTTTCAGTCTGTGTATGTTTTTGTTGATAGGGTGAGTTTCTTACATGCAGTCAACTAGTGGTTCTTGCTTTATAATCCAGTTAACTGATCCCCTGTCTTTTAGTAGAAGAATTGAGACTATTATATTTAGGACTATTAGCAAAAGGCAATATATTAGCCCCTCTTGTCTCTGAATATTCTTTGTGGCTATTTGGAATAGTCCATGTTCATTAATTTTTACATTATGCATCTTTCAGTTCTTATGGTTTTCTGAATTACGTATGATACTGTATAATGCTGTTTTAGTAGTGTTGAATTCTTTCAATTTATGTTTATCTTGGAAAGTCTCTCTCTCTTTAAATCTGTGGATTCTCTGTATATTAATCTTGGTTGGCAGGTTTTGTTTCTTTCAGCGTTTGAAATTCTTTATTGCACATGTTCCTTCCTGGCTTTTAGAGTCTCTTGAGAAATCTGCTATTATGCTGATGGGTTTGTGACTTACTGGCGGTGGCGGCGGCTGCTGCTGCTGCTGCTGCTTCCTCCTCCTCCTCCTCTTCCTCCTCCTCTTCCTCCTCCTTTTCTTCTTCTTCTTCTTCCTCCTCCTCTTCCTTCCCTTCCTCCTCCTCCTCCTCCTCCTCCTCCTCCTCTTTTTCCCTCTTCTTAATAACTTTTAATATTCTTGCTTTGTTGTTTTCTTTTGGCACTTTAGCTATCACATATTCAGGAGAGGTTCGTTTCTTGGTCATGTATACTTGAGGTTCTAAATGACTCCTGTGCAGGAATGTCCATATTTGAAGATTTGGGGAATTTTCCAATATTATTTTGCTAAATAGGTTTTCTTTTTTTTAAATTAGCTTTTGAACATCTTATGTATGTATACAGTGTATCTTGATCATATCAGGCCCTCACCTTCCTTTTACCCTTCTATAAGCCCATCACTACTACTATTATTATTATTATTATTCCCTTAGTAGCTGTACTCTGTTTTCAGTGATGCTCGGAGGCTTGGTCTCCTACTGGTGTTCCATGTTCTGTTCCTAATTATTATTTTTATTATTGTTTATCTGTGATCTGTAGGTATGGGTTGTTGTGTGCCACAGCATGTATAAGGACAGAACACAGCTTTATGAAGTGTTTGTCTTCTACATTTGTGTGTATAGATTGCAGACGTCAAATTTGGGTCCTCGGGTATCCTGACCTCTGAGCCCTCTTGCTGCCCCATGCTGTTTACCTAGATAACTTGTCTTGTTTCTGTTATCTGAATATAGCACTATATCTTCAAGCCTAAGGGATCTTTCATGACTTGATTCAGTCTACAGATGGAGATCAAACTGAGGTTTCTATTTCCTTGAACTTTTAATTTCCAGCATGATTATTTTCTTCCTTTCCGCTCCTTCATGTCCTATGTAATCGTCTTCAATTCAGTCAGCTGCTGATTTGTATACTCTTTAAATTCAGCCATCCTTTTATAAAATCAGTCTTTTGAATTCTTTGTCTAGCTTGTCACGCATTTAGATATTTTTGGAGTCATCCACTAGGAAATTACAGACTTCTGGAGATGTATGTTGACTTGTTTTCCATGTTTCTTGTTTTCCTATGATTAGATTTATACATTTGTAGGGAAGTATAAATGTAGAGAATGCTTTTTTTTTATACTTTTAAGTGTTTTTATTAGCATATATTAGAATATTGATGAGTTTATTAACATGTATTATAATATTTATATTTCCTGTATTATATAATGTTGCAGAGAGTGGCATGGAAAGATTGCACTCTGTTTAGTTCTTCACTAGTCAGCAGTGTGTGTTCTGAAAGGATATGGGAACTATCCATGTTAAATCCCCCATGGATGCTATTTCTCTGATTATTTTTCTCTCTGCTTTTGCTTACACTTAATTTCTAGGAACAGTACTCTAGGCTCCCTCTAGTTGTGCCTTCTTGGAGCTAGACCGCCATCAGAGAATTATTTTAGCCTTTATCTGTAATATCTAGAAAGGTTTGACTGTGATTAGTTCATGGGCAGAGTCACATACATTTTTTCTCAACTGCGGTGGTGTGTAGCTCAGCAACAAAGCACTTCCCCAGAGTCTTTTAGGTGCTGGTCTCAATCTCTGATAGTATCCAGAGAGGAGAAAACAAGCGCTGGTGATGGTGTAAGTTCAAATCTGATATAGAAATAGCATATGAGCCAATAAGGAACAACCACTACAGTACCATTGATAATAGATAAGAAAGGTGCCAAAATAATACAGATTCTAAAATTCAACATTACTAAAGCAAAGATTGAAATGAAAAAAGAAACATAAATAAAATTACATGAGAGCAAGAAAAATACTGAACAAAATGAAAGCAGTTTTTGTTGTCAAGGGCCTTGGATTAAAGAAGCTTCTAGATCACTTAATAAGTGGAAACTAGTGGTCATTGCACAGCAGGTCTTCTATAGTGAGTTTTGTTGGGAAGTCTAAGGATATGCTGTTGTAGAAAGGCTTTCTGTTCACTCACTCCACAGGATTATTGTATTTGTACCATAGCCCCCATTATCTGCAGATGTGCACAAGCTAGGCAGGTGTACTCCAGAGACCTCTAAGTTGAGCATCAGAGGGCATGGTAGATGTCCAAGATACATAGATTTATAACTGTGACTCATGGTATCTCCCACCTTGGCCCTGCCACAATGGCAGAGAGCTTCAGGAGCCCTGACTTGTGGTTGTCTTGAGTTTGGTTCCTAAGGGTAGGAGCCTTTCCAGGCACCTCATTGCCATTCTCTGAGAGTTGGTACGCTATGCAGTGGGTTTCTTCTCTAATGCTCTCCTGTCACGCTGGAGTCATTGAGACTTCTTAAATCCTTGACTGTCTTTAAGCCTTGTGGGAAATGTGGATTCCCACCATCTTGCTTGTATGGCATTGGGTCCTCCTAACTCCCTCTGCTGAGCAGCTTGGGTTGGAGCTAGGGAATGCTTTATACCTTTGAATTTCTTCTTCTTCATGCTACTTAGTTTTTTCTGGAGTGCTACGTCTCTTCTCTCCTTGAAATATGATGTCTTCATTCCTGCCCAGGCGTTGTTCATGTAGTCACATGAGGGGTGCTTTCCCACCATCTGCCCTTGCAGCTTTCTGAGTGTTTTCCTTGATGAACCTCTGCTTGTTTTGTTTTCCTACTTCTATAATAGATCCCTTCTCTCTAAGAGGCTTTCCACAGTAACAGGGCTTTTGCTTATAATTTGTACTTAACTTTGTCTCTTTTACTTTAAACAAAGTAAAAAGAAAAGTGTCTATAGAATGAGATAAATTTCTATAGAATGAGGAGGAGGAGTAGCGAAAGCATAGCTTTATTAAAGGTAAGAATGAAAATGTGGTGCACACCCCACACAATAAGAGCCAGCCCCAGCAAGCTTGGGACTTGAGTCTGAGTTTGTTCTAAGAGTTCTATTTTATGTTTGTGACCCGTTTGGGTATTGATCGACCCTTTAGCAGGGGTTGCCTACGACCATCTGCATGTCAGATACTTATACTACAGTTCATAACAGTAGCAAAATTACAGCTATGAGTAGCAATCAAAGTAATGTTATGGCCAGGGGATACCGCAGCATGAGGAACTGAATTTAAGGGTTGAATCATTAGGAAGGGTGAGGACCACAGCACTGCAAGGAAGTGTCTGATCTGAAATTACCCACAGGAGGCTAGATGGTCATTGTTACCTTCCTGGGAAGGGGCAGACATAGCTTTCTAAGAGATATTATCCCCTGTTGCTAGCCCTTCCTACTCAAACCTCCTTCATTGTCTTGCTTTGAAAGTCTGAAGACTATTTTTATATGATATAATAGGTGTGTGTGTGTGTGTGTGTGTGTGTGTTTATGGGAGAAATACTTCCATTAAGGACTGAGTCTATTTCATACAGCCATAAATTATTTGGCCCATGAATGCATATTAATCTAAATTTTGCATACTAAATTATCTTTGATCCTAATATAAATAATACTTCTCAGTATAATATGTGAACATAGAAGTAGTTTATCACCAGTTTAAACTGCCGAAGTACTGAGTCTCATGTTCTTTTATTTAAATAAGTGCAATAATGCTTATCATAGAAGATTGTCACAAAGAATAAATAAGGTGATATATGCAAAATACAGTGACTTCCACTAACCTTACCAAAATGCAGTTAACTTATAGTATATGTAATGTATTACTTCTGTTTTTTTCAAAAAACTATGTTAATGAAACAGTTGTTTTTGTGCCAGAATTACAGATGAGAAAATAGATGATGTGAGCCGAAGAATTTTCCAAGTCTTAGATAAACAGGCAAAGCCAGATGCAAATACATGGTTATCTGAAAACAGAGTGGGATCTTTTTGCAAAAGCACACTTTTTCCTAGGACATGATAGATACTCCTTTGTTTAGTCCTTTTCTATCTTTCCTGCCATCTTAACTTTTTTTTTTTCATTTTAAGAAATAAGATTGGCGGTCTGTTGTTGCACATGTTAATCCCCAAGAGGCAGAGAGATCTCTGAGTTTGAGGCAAGTCTGGTCTACAGAGTTAGTTCTAGGACAACCAGAGCTAAACAGAGAAATCCTATTTGCAAACAAACAAACAAACAAACAAACAAACAAGACTATAGACAAAAACTTGCAGGAGCACTGCTTCCTCTGCCCAAAGCTTACAGCCTTTATTCTTAGTTGTGTATCTTATACTGCACAGACTCCTGTGTTACATATGGTAGGTATATTTAGTTTCCTGGATACTTGGAGTGACATGTTTTCCATGTTATCCAATAAAAGTCACGTTTGTGTTTAGCATTGGAAAAATGGTTAATGCAAGCAAAGAACTGCAATGTAACCTTAGAGTAGATTACTGGGGCTGCTCTGTGTTCTTTGGGTGCATGCAGTCAGCACATTTAGTGTGTTAACTGAGAATGCTGCACCTTCCTTCCAGGTTGAAGACTTTAGCAGAAGAGCTCACACAGACTCAGCAGATGCTTTTACACAAGGAGGCGGCTGTCCTGGAGCTAGAGAAGAGGATTGACGAATCTTCTGAGACCTGTGAAAAGAAGTCTGAGTGAGTAACCAAGAAGCCTCCTAAGAGAGCATAGCTTAGTGGCACACGTTTATAGGAGTGCTTGCCACATGCTAGTGTGGGCTTACTGTGTGCTTGGCCCTTCCAGAAATGGAAGTTTTCATGTTAAAACAATGGAAACTCATATGACTCTGGACAACTTTCTATAAAATGTGATGTCTAGTGGTTACTTTCATGTCAACTTGACACAAGCTAGAGTCATCTGGAAATGCAATGAAAATAAACCCTTTCTTCCCAAAGTTGTATTAGTTCATGGTGTTTCATCACAGCATTAGATATCCTAAGACAGATATGTTCTAGAAATGTGGTCCTGTATTTTTAAATATAATGCCCTGGTCACATGCCTTAGTGTTTTAACAGTCTGAACTGTTTCACAAAGAATCCTTTGTTAAACTCTGCCTTTGTTACTCAATAGCTAGTTTTAAATGAGACCTATTTTAAATCCCTTTGTAAAAAGGGGGCAAAGAAGTATCTAGAATTGGTTGATGTTATATTAAAAGGCAATCAAATAAACTAATTAGATTACACTAATCTGCTTTGCATATAAAAGTCAGCTTCAGATTTACTTGACTATTTTTGCTTTTCTGGTGTTTGTATTACTGATTTCTAACTTGACAATATTTTCCTGGATCTTCTGATTTTACTTGTCCTAGTACATTTCTGCTTTGTTGTGGTTGTTGTTAGATGTATGCCTTTGTTCATGTGTTCAGGTACACGAATGTGTGTGTGTGTGTGTGTGTGTGTGTGTGTGTGTGTATAGGGCAGAGTTTAATGGCTGTTGTCCTCCTCAGTGGCTCTCCACCTTAGTTTTCGAGGCAGGGTCTCTCATTGGATGGAACTTGAGTTAAGTAGATGGGCTAACAACCTCAGGGGTTCCCTTGTCTCCCTAGAGTGGGATTATAGATATTTGTATGCCTGGCTTTAGAGTTTTGCTTTTTTAATTTTTTTAAATTTTAATCTATTCTTTAGTAATCATACAGATGAATACAATATGTTTAGATCATACCAATACTTGTTGCTTCTTCTCTGATTCGCCCCCCCACTACCTCATGCCCTCCTGACTTCCTGTCTTCTCTCACTCTCCTCCTTTTCCTGCTGTTCATCTTCTTCTTCCTCCTCATCCCTGTCTTCTTCTTCTTCCTCCTCCTCTTCTTCCTCCTCTCCTCCCACCCACTCAGTCAGTGCTGCCTGTATGCACACAGGTAGAGGGTACCACTCACTAGAACACTGACAACCTACGGCACCACTCAAGCAAACTGACTTGTCTTTTCTCAGCAGCCATCAGTTGCGAGTATTTCCTGAACTAGGGATGAGGCCTTCCTTCTCTATGCTGGGGTGTTGAATGACTGGCTCTTGTGCAGGTCTTGTGTAGTCAGTCAGACCTGCTCTGAGGTCATGAGTGTCTAAAGAACACTGCTTTGCAGCATGCTCTCCTCACTTCTGACTCTCTAGTGTTCTCGGAGCCATGTGGAGGAAAGTGTGTGACCTGCATGTCCCCTAGGACTGAGCATTCCGCAGTCACAGACTGTCTGCACTTTGGTTGATAGTCTCTGAGGTAACAACTACCCACTGCATAAAGATCCTTCTCTAGTGAGAAGCGAGCAGCACACTTGTCTCTAACAGTCTGTATTTAGGAGGCACTTCAGTTCTGTGCCTATCTAGCAGACTCAGTCGTAGAGCCGTACCTTATCAGCTACACATTCATGGCCTCAAGGATGGTACCAGGCATGAGTTTCCTCCTGGAGGACAGGTCTTACGTGTGATTAGAAAGTTGATCCTCCCATAGCATTCATGCCATGGTCGCACACATGGGTGTGTCTTGTCAGGCCAGTCGTTATTATAGTTTGTAAGGGTCACAAGCTATGTCAGAGTGTTCCCAACTTTTCTCCCCCAACACTCTGCCAAATATTATATTGCACTATGCAAGCTATCCAGCAGGAAGGAAGCTTTTATGTCAGTACCAGCTTGATTTTCTCATGTTCCATAATCAGAATATGTGGCATCATTAGCAGTAAAGTCATATTATCACGTTTCAGTGGGGGCAGCCAAAGGCAGTGGCAATAATATGTTTTTGTGAGTGCTGGGGCTTGAACTCAGGACCTCATGCTTTGGTACAAGAAGCTACAAGTTGAGTCATCTTCCTAACACTGTTCTCTCTCTACCTCCCACCCTGTGTGTGTACATGTGTACATATGTTTATGCATATAGAAACCAAAAGTTCAATGTTGGATTTTCTGGATCTCTGTCTCTCTCTGTCTCTCTTCCCCTTTTCTTCCCTCCCTCCATCCCTTCCTCTCTCCCTCTTTCCCTCCCTCCATCCTCCCATACCCCCCATCACACTCCTTCACTGAACCCCTGAGCCCATCGCTTTGGGTGTTTTGGTTGATTGGTGACCAATCAACTCCAGGAGTCATGACTCCCTGCCACACGTAGCACTGAGGTTACCGATGCTCAGCAGCTCACTTTATGTGGGTGCTTGGGATGACAACTCAAGTTCTGATGTTTTCATGGAGGTGCTTTGACAGCTGCGCCCTCTACTCATCCTGGGCATTATGTTTTTATTGATGGTCAGTTGTGGTGACTTGAAGTTACAACAGTATATGTCTGCATGCATTCTCTAGTCCTGACTGCTGTATAGCCGTTTCCTGTTTTCATACTCAGGAACTGCTTTGGGTTTTCGAGGCTCTCCAGGGTTTGGTGATGTGCTAGATCTCTCTGATCTACATATGCTCTTATGTTTTTGTGTAACATCTCAAATATTCTCCACTTCTGTCGAATTTTTGATCTTCTCAGTTATTGTAGTCAGCAGATGAACTTCTGTATCACAGAAAAATGTAAACGGTTATTAAATGGCTTTGTCCTTACTTTTGGAGAACTAGAAACCTGAATTTCCTCATGTTTTCGCTTGCCGTCCATCCTTAGTGCCCTTTTACAGTAGAATGTAGATATTCTACGCCTGTTTCTCATGGACTTGTTAAATATCGCCGTCATTTTCCCAGAAGTTTTGTCTATTCTATTTTTCCTATTCCTCCCAACTGGGTCTTATGCTCACTTTTAAAGTATTGATTCCCAAACCACCAGTGTCCTGTCCCCATCCCTGTCCCAGTCCTCTACCCAATCCTCACCCCACTCCCTGCTGCCCATCCTTGAGGTGCTGCTGGCCTGGGTACAGTGCTTAGGGCTGATACCTGCGCTGGTATATAGTCACTTAGCTGCTGAAACCCTTTTTCTTCTCCATATTTCCTTCTGCTTGCTCTCTGCCTTCTCGTCTCCGAGTCTGAACTCATTCTAGTAGTAATTCTCACAAGTCTCTAGCCTTTGGTCCATTACTACAGAAGTAAGAATCTCAAAGATTACCAGGGGCGTGTAATAGGGCAGCTTTATTTGGCAGTTGTCTTTCTAGGCCTCTTGTAATCACATCTGACAGGTTTTCTGCGCTGAGCTTCATCTTTCCTCGTTGGCACCCCTCCAATTTTGATTTTTCTTTGAAAATCCACCATCTTGAGTTCGTGGTGCTGTCTCACACGTGCCTGAGGCTGTGTACCGTTAATGGCCCCACAGGCTGTCTGCTCTGTAGAGCTGAGACGTTTGGCCGTGAGTAGCAGGCTGTAGCCGCTCAGCCAGGGGGAGGTACATGGTAAATGCCAGCCCTATAGCTGAGGCCCACACAGGCAGGACAGTCTGGAACCGAGGTCCCCATCGGTAGGGGTGGAGCTGGCCTCGGACTTCCGTCTCCTGCCGAGCCCTTGCAGGCTAATAGAACTTTTAGGAGTTAGAAGGGTTAGCACGGCCGGGTCTTCAGGGGTAAGTCCTAGTGAACCCCATTGGTAGCCTTTGTTACCCTGAGTGACATTGTTATTGTTAGCTTCAGGGTATAATATGAAAATTAAAATATGAAGTATACTTATGTGACTAAACAGTTACTGCTAACTCTCACTGATTCAGAAATTGGTGGATTGAACTTTGCCTTCATATTTCTATGTCTTTTGCTAAACAAATGTCCTGAATAGGATTCCATGATGATACACTTATATTTTTTCCATTAATATTAAACTGGGCTTGTCTTTAGATGTCTGTCTGTCTGTCTCTGTCCATCCATCCATCTATCCATCCATTCATCCATATCCATTCATTCATCTATCCATCTGTCATCTATTGCTTACATATAGCTATAAATATCTATCTCTATATCTAAATATATATGTAATAATAATTTTTGCTTTAGTTTAAAACATGAACCTATAAATTTTTTTAAGGCTAAGTGTGATCAGAAATGTCTAACTTGGTGCTACATAGTGAGTCTCTGTTGTTTGTTGTTTTTTTAGAAAAAGCTTTATCTTTATTTTTGTAATACTTTATTATCTTCATACTCTTTGTTACTTGAAAGTAATAAAATGGTAAAATTACATTTCTTCAAAGATGCTAAAGCTTTGTTTATTCATAGTTTTAAATTACTTCTAAATAGATAAATCCTAATGTATTTTTACTTAATAGAATTATTTGTTTTATCAACATACAGTAGGGTCTTAAGTTAAATCTTTATATTTAGTATGTGCCTCTAAATTCCTATTACTTACAGCTTCTGAAGGAAAATTGAAAAAGCTTATCCTCAGAATATGTAGGAACTAGGATTGTCAGGTATGAAAGCATGTGTTTTATAGTTTTTTGGTAGTTAATAATATGACTTTTCCAGAAATTCTTACTGTTATTTTACCCTCTTCTACAAAAATACCATTGTGCTTGTTTTGTGTTGCCCCTACCCTGACGTGTCACTACCCTGTCGTGTCGCTAGTATACCCAGTGACATTTTGTTGGTGAGAACTAATTTTTCCTTTGCAAATGGTTACCAGTTGCTGATGGCTTCTTGGTTAGTGAGCCCTTGTCTACTTCCTCTTCTCCTGGGGATAATCCCCCTGTCTGTCTTGAATCTGTCCAGGCTCTGTGCCTGCTATCACAGTCTTTGTAAGTTTGTTCCTAAAAATACAGTTAAAAGTTTTTGTTTGACTATTAACATTTGCTTTTCGCAAACATCATCCTTTATATATAATTTCATATTTCATTATTGCAAAGCTCAGTTTCCTTCCTTTTGCCCTCTACAGCTAACCTTGTTTTAAAATCTATTTTCTTTGCAGTTTTCTGTTAGCCTTTATGTAAGACTATTCAGAACAGCTCTTTTAGAGTATTATTTTTAAGTATATGAAATCATTTTCCTGTATGTGAGGAATCATTCTTTGAATAATCTTCTGGATGTATGTGGAAATATATTATGACATTTCAGCTGATGTTTTTAGAATCATTTCTCATGTTATTGTTAAAGCCCTTGTGATTCTAGGATATTTTGTTTTTGTGTGTATGTTAGGAAGGATTCCCCACAGATCTTAAAAATGTGCAAGTAGAATCTTCTCCAGAGTCTCCTCAATTTTTTTTCTCACAAAAATGATTGTCTTAAAACTTAACATTCTCTGAATGGATTTTCTGAGAAATGGAAATGTCAATTTATTGCAAAAAAAAAAAAAGCAATTACCAACTAATATACAAGCCAGCATGATTTTACCAAGAAATCTGTATAGATTTTAAAAATAGGTCACAGATTACTGAATGATGATGATATGCTTGGTAATTATCACTTATTAAATTCTGATGTTTAGAGCAATCTGTCTTCTGGACATTTCTAGGTCTACAAGTGCTCTTAATTGTAAGAGAGAGAGAGAGAGAGAGAGAGAGAGAGAGAGAGAGAGAGAGAGAGAGAGAGAACGTTCGAGAGAGCTTTACAGCATTCTCTGAGATTCCTGAATTCCTGAACTACTTTTGAGGAGACCAGCATTGTTTCCTGTGGTCCCTGGGATTGTACCCTGCTCAGTTACGTTAGAACCGAGTTCTCATTACATCCATTGTCAGTAGACATACAACACAATAGCTTTCCTTGGTCAGTCTTCTTTCTTTTTATTCAAGCTACATTCCGATCCTGTTAAGTAAGTTATGTCACTGTCTAATGTTATCTAATGTTCAGTAAGTTACCTCACTATCTAATGCTGGAGTGTTCCTTCATTTTCAATCTGCTGTTTCTTATCTATTAATAACTCACCACAGTGCATGGTGCACTTACTTTTAAAATATCAGTACCATATACAAAAGGAAGAGACATTTCCACCAACACTTGGTTTTCTCTCTGGTGGCTTTCCTATGGGAAAAGTAGTTTTGAATTCCCATTGTGGGGAGCTTCAAGGGCCAACTCTCTGCAGGAGGGCTGCGAAAATCTGTTTCCATGTTGGTCATAATAGAAATCATAGTCAGATCTGAATCCTGTGTTAGCTATTCCTGTTTGAAACCGATCACATAATTACACATAGTTCAGTGTGTGTACATTAAGGCCATCACCTAATTTTATTAATTTTACCCCAAGAACATATCAGTACTATAAGTATGGGATTCTGGAGATTTGGAGTGAATGTATTATTTTGTCATCCTTTTCAATCAGTTCAGGGCCTATTCCTAACCCTGACTCCTACTGTGATAGACACTTTATGTATAAAAGAGAGTGAGTACTATAGACCACAATTTTTTCAACAGTATCTTGAGTGACTTATTTATATTTTGTTAGTTCAAGTATCTAGTATCTATTGTTATTAAAATTTATTTTCATTATGATTCTGAAGGAGTGCTGTAAAGGAAAATGAAAACTTGCAAAAGCATAATCTGCATAGACACACGGACACATGATACATAGATACAAACACACAGATACATAAACAGCCACACACATACATAGACACATACACAGACACACATATAATATAGACACACACAGATACATAAAGAATACACACAGACACATACAGAGGCACATAATAAACACACACAGAAATATACACATACACAGACACACACATAAAAGACAGACACACAGATATACCCATATACACACTTTTTCATTAATGGTTTTATTTCTCATCGAGTTGAAATAATGTATATTTATTTTATTCTATTGTAGCATTGTGCTTCTTCTGGGTCAAAAACAGGCGCTTGAAGAGTTGAAGCAGTCAGTCCAGCAATTGAGATGTACTGAGGCAAAGTGCGCAGCACAGAAAGAATTGCTGGAGCAAAAAGTACAGGAAAATGATGGGAAAGAACCACCTCCTGTGGTAAATTACGAAGAAGATGCACGGTCAGTCACATCCATGGTAAGCTGTGGAGCCGTCAGGTACAGAAAGTGTCTGGGTAATAAGTGAGCATGAAGCTAATCCGGGTTTGCTGTAACAACTTATTACTCTTGTTAACATGCAGGTCCTATTAAACTTATTTGTAAATGCAGAATAGACTTTCCAGTCAGTCACCTCAGGTCACCTGGAGAGCACTTCAGGAACTACCCATAGAGTCAGAGGACAGAAAGCTCTTCTCTTGCCTTCAAATCTGAAAGGACAGACTGAAGTTGTTTTTAATCCTGGGAGACAGCAGGAAGGTAGGGTATCATTTAAAGATAGAAATAAGAAAAGGAGAACGCTATTCATTGACTGTTTCTTAAGAACAATGACATTTGTTTGCCTTAGATTCATGGTGTTTATTTTTTTCACAGTATGCAAACTGATTTAGCTTAATTTTTTTGATCCTTAATTTGTTCAGATTTATAGACTTAAAATTCTGTTTAATTTTAATTTTACTAAGTACCTAATGCTCAGTATATATCAGTATATCTATCCATCCGTCTATCCATCCATCCTCTGTCTACTTCATGTCTATCTATCGTTAGCGTTGGTTATTATTACTAAGCAACAGTTTTGCTAACTGGGACATTTGGCAGTCTCTAGATTTTTGTGTTGTAGTGACCAGTAGATAGAGTCTAGAGCTTATTAAACATATATGGTACATAGAATAGTCTAGTGAAATCAAAATTTCAGGACTACAGTGCTTAAAATATCCTGAGGTATACTTTTTTGTTTTCTCTGGACAGTTCAATGTACTCCATTGTACTCCATTGAAGTATTATAATTAAAGAATCTATAGTGACTTTAATAATTTTTCAATTTACATGATCTTAATTAATATATATTATATATAATGTACTATATAATAAATATAATTTATAAAGAATAATATATAGATAATATAATAAATACATATTAAACTGAAAATAGTATGTTAAATTCAAATGTTCTCATAGGCCATATTTAGAGCTGTAATAACGCAGAAATGGATATGAAGTACTTGAAAATTTAATCATTGCTGCTTTTGTTATTAATTGAATTTTGTTGACGTACACATCACTTTGTCAGTTGTAGTGTGTTCTACATTATCATCCTGCCTGTCAGGACCTGAGCACATATAGCAAAGGCCTATGGGCTTCTTTCTTCTTTCTTGTGCTTTATATCTTTCTTGATATCTATTGGACATACATACTCTTTCAGAGCAATTCACATTTTTTTTTTCATTTGGCTTTTAAGGACCTTGTATCCTTCCTTTGATTATGGTTTGTAATATCTCTTTGCCTGCATATGAGTGTGGAATTGCTACTTGATTATTTGATGGTTTGACAGCCTTTTAATACTTTATAATTAATTTTAAGTAATTAATATACATATAACTTATGCTGGTACTATCTTGGTGGAATAAAAAGTAGTTACACAGGTTGCCAGATAATAACTGTTCCCAATAGTTATAAATTAAAAATCTTGCTTTTAAGAGTTTGTGATGCTTTCGAGTTTAATTCTTAAGTTGTCAAAGATTTATCAACTCAATTGAATAAACAGTGTTTCATAGAAAATATGTACTAAAGTTTAAGAAAGCCAACTGCTCTTTTGACATCTTTTCCCTCTTCTCTTACACCGTTTATGTGACGATTTATAAGCGAGGATGTTACCTTGTTAATTTGAAGTAGTGCTGTCTGTTTTATTGTCTTCAGTTCATTTTCAGTAATTGAAATAGTAATGATAATTATCTCTTATCTACTCATTGAAACAATACCTTTTTAAGTTTTTACTTAAAAATTTTCCACGTGTGACTGGTGGTATTCACCTCTAAGTATAGCACTTGAGCGGCTTAGCCTGGATGGTGACAAGTTGGAAACATCATGGGAAACTCCCATCTCAAACCAAACCAAACCAAAATGAAAAACTAGTAAGACTTTTCACTGAAAAATTTGTCCGTTTTTCAAAAGGAATACTGTATATTATCTGTAGTTAAAATGATGAGATTATATTTATAAATTGTATGGGTCATTCTACAAATTGAAGTCAATTAAATGTTTTACAAAAGTAAATTAGAAAGAAAGAATACATCTGGCATTGAAGGAATACAGTGAGAACATCTAACAGTTTTCACTTAATTCTCCACACCTGTATTGTTGAAAATTTTGCATTCTTTAACTTTTTCATATAGCATCTATGATATATATATATATATATACATATATATATATATATATTAGTTGAAAATAATAAAAACTACAATGCTTAAATATATTTTCCAAAATGACTACTTAACATTGTCTTATGAATATCATTATAAAATAAGTTAGACTTATGTGAGAGAGAAGGGTCTAGGAGTAATGGGGGAAGAGGCAGTATCATTTGTTTTCACTCATGTGCTAGATCTAGATTTAAATATAGCTATCATCTGTCTGTCTATCATCTGTCTGTTTCTCTATCATCTATGTCTATCTACCTACCTATACCTATGTGTCCCTTCCTTCCTCCTCTCCCTGCCTCTTTTTGGTATAGTAGGAGACATTAGAACAGAAGGATCCTATTGAGGTAGGAAAGCGCCAGTAGGAATGGCCAGAGGGTAGAGGAAGATAGCAATCTCTTGATGAACTGAGGATTTATGCTGTATTGTTCACCAGTTCTAGCTCTAGAGATCAGAAGAGTGTATTCTCTGAGTCTGGTTAGGAGTGTAAACATCAGTGTTTCCTAATAACTAGTTAAGCATAAGCTGCTGGCTTTAATAATGCTTAATAAGTATTAAGGATTTTTATTTAGTTATTTATTAACTATTTAGTAATAGTATTAAAATAAGCCTCATTTTAATATCTGTTGAACTATGGAATTAAACTTTCCTTTAACACCAGAGTTACCTGTTTGCTTTCTTTTATGGCGGCTTTGGACCAAATACAGTAATTTTTGATTAAAGCGTTTACTTGTGTGTTAGATTTATATGTCTAAAACTGATGACAGCCACAGAATGATTCCCTTCTTCTAAAACATGTATAGCTTTCCTATAAGAAAATTGACTTCAATTTGATATTTCTGAAATTGACATTTCATGTAATCCCCTTTGACAGACAGAAATACAACATATATTTATCTTCTCTACATGTACTGAGTAACTGTTCTTAGTTGAACAGCAGTAGTAATAAAATCTTATTATGCTATATTTTCAACCAGTGAAATATCTAACTTTTTAAAGATTGCCTGTCATATGACTCAGTTTTATCCTGTGTTACAGTGTCTGATATTTTCAGTGTTAAGAACACTGTCCTGAATTAATGAAAGAATTGGCAGTGTTGTTCAGAGTTTTATCTTTATTATTGTGAGGTATGTTTTCTTTCTTGCAATCACCAACTTAAGTTTTAATTTTGAGCCTTATTTACCAAATATTGGTAAATTTACCAATATTTGAGAAAAACACCAGAATCAGAAGACCTAAGTAGCTCTTTTGTCTCTGCTCTATGATTATAGTGAGGCTCCGTAAACTTTATAAGGTTCTATTCTGTAGAGGTAGTATGTCTTATGGTATGCTTTTGATACTGAAAAAAGATGGTAAGTATAAATTTATTCTATATAGTGAAAACATTGTGAAACAAATAGCTCTACTTTATTTATTAGGTGGTTATATCTTAGTTCATATATAAGTTAACCAGTATTTACTCACTGTAAGAATTATTGAATAGATTTATGAAGGATTGTGCTATGTATTTCTAGTTGGTAAAGCAAAGCTTCATGTAATGCCTTTTAGTAACAGTACATGCATATGGGCATGTTTGTGGGTCTCAGACTTCCTTGCTTAGTCCTCAATTCTCTTCCTCAGAAGTAATTTTCCAGAAGTATTATCTGTAAAATAGAAGCATGTATGTAAATTATATTGCCTTCTGTTCTTTTTTACATAAAGGGAAGACTATATAATATTGTCTGATAGTGTGTGAAATGTTTAAAAAACACTCTACGCTACTGCTGGCAAGGCACCTGCAGATAGGCCAGTCTGTTCTTAACCCGGCAGACTCTTTGACTCAAGAGCTCTGAAATCTCTCGTAGTTCTCCTTTATTAAATGAACCTTAAGTTTCATTTTATAATAGGGCATATACAGTGACTCTTTTTCTACTTACTCATTTAAAATGTGGGTGTTTATATTAGGCCAGGTATTATGATTGTTACCTTTGGTTTTTAACTTGACATAGTATAGAAAATTCTGGAAAGAATATTTCAATGAATGTTGAGACAATGTCTTCATTATCTTCATTGGGTTCGCTAATGAGCATGCCTGTGGGAAATTGTTTTAGAAATTTGTTATGAGGAACATCCTGCCCACTGTGAGTGGCAGTTCCTTACAAGCAGTTCCTGAACTATGTGAAAGTGAAATAATTGAGCCAAGCAAACAAGTGAGCCTGTGTATATTCATGTCTCTCTGCTGAGCATGAGTCTGCTATGACAAGCTCTCTCTAGCTCTGCTGTTGTGACTATTCTGCAGTAATGGACTGAAACCTGGAATTGAGGGGAATTCCTTTCTCCAAAGTTGATTTTTATCAAGGTATTTTATCATAGTTACAGAGAGAAATAAAGCAGCTATCCAAAACCAAAACAGAAACCAAACCAGCTACTTTAGAGCTTTACAGTATATCCATGAGCAAAATGCACATAATTTTTATTGTACTTGTATTAGTAACTTTTCTGTCTCTTGAGATAATACCTATACAAAAGCAACTGGAGAAGAGAGCAAGAGCAAGCACGAGCGTGAGTGCGAGCGAGAGCGACGTGGCAGGGAATAATATGGCAACAGATGAGAAATACAAGGCTGACCACATATTTTTTCCATTGTTGGCCGCAAAGATTTTTTCTATTTCCAGTAAGGTTCCATCTCCTAAAAGTTTCATAACCTTCCAAACAATGCTGCCACCTGGGGGCCCCTAGTGTTTAAATCTGTGAACTATGGGGAGCATAAAATCATCAGATCATCTCATTCGAATTCTCACAG